AAAAAAAAAAAAAAAAAAAAAAAAAGTCTGTAGATTAGTGTATCAGTGTAAAGTTTCTGGTTTTGATCACTTTACTAAGGGTTTTAATCACGGCGTTGGGGAAGTTGGGAGAGAGTATATGGTAACTATGATTTTTACAATTGCTTTGTAAATCTGAAAATTACTTTGAAAGGAAAAAATAAAAATTAAATACAAATGAATAAAAATTGAAGCTCTCTGCCCTTGATCCAGAGATTCCCTTTCGGTAAATCTTGGAAATGGGCTGCAGGGCAGTGCTTTTCATAAACTTCCTAGAGTATGAATTTCCCTGTCCTTCAACTTCTCGGTCATTCATTCATACAAGCCAACACCTGTTAAGTGGACACAAAGTTGATGAAAACCTGCCTATGTAATGTGGGATGTCAGCTAGGTTGTGGTGTGAGCAATTTTGTAGTGTATACGTCAGGCCAGGTGTGGTGGTACATGCCTGTAATCCAAGTTTGAGCCCAGTGTGGGCAATTTAGTGAATTAATGAGACCATGTTGCAAAAGAATGAAAAAGCTCAGTGCACAGGCCTTGGATTCAATCCCCAGTACTGGAAAAAAAGGTTTCTATGTCCTTAAAGTCTTTTTTTTTTGGTACCGGGGAACGAACTTGGGACCTTGCGCTTGCAAGGCAGGTGGTGGAACCACTGAGCTAAATCCCTGGCCCCTTAAAATATTTTTTAAAAGCAAATGCTCCCTATGAATCAGACACTGCTTGATTTAACTAAATCCCCAAATTTATGAAGTGATATTTGGTTTTTTACGTTAGTTACCGTGGTCAGGGTTGTGGGGATAAAAAGTAAGGACACAGTTCCTGCCCTCAAAGAGTTTTGGTTCACTGGGAAAGATATACACTGCAAACTAACTCTAGGAGTTAGTTTCAAATTCAAAGGGGGCCTTGACCTGAGCTTACTGGTGGAGGGGAGGATGAGCGGTTGGTGTTGGAATGTTGGGTGTGCACGCTCTAAGGCAGTTGTGAGGTGGTTGAGCAGAGCTGACCGTTGGGGGATGAGGAGACAGTTGGAGAGGGAGGTTAGGGTTGAGAAGGCATAGTAGAGCTCAGAGGGGGCACTGGCTTCAGAAGGATGTAAGCGCTGTGTCTCTACTGTTTGGGCCTGAGAGGGGCACTGAGGTTGGATCCTTGTTCTCCAGGATCCCTCAGGCCAGGGTGGGAAAGCCTCAGAGCCACTATGATGTGAACATCTGGAAAGGGTGGACTTAGTCCCCTAATGGAGGGACTAGAGACGAGCTGCCTGAGGCTCAGGCTGGACGTAGGGGCCAGGAGTTGGGCGTGGTTGAGTTTCAGGGAAAGACAGACATCCATGGGATGTAGCCCACTGGTGTTTGGAAACATGGGTTTGTGGTTAAAGGAGAAAACTCAGAAAAAAACAATTGGGATTTCCCCCAGAACTGTCGGAGGGTGACTTTGGAGGGAGAAAGTATAGCCTGCAGGTCGTGAAGTGGCCAAGCGGAGTCCTGGACAGTGTCACACTGGAGGTCACGGAGGCAGAGGTGTGCTGGAGCCAGTCCTCTGATTCGAACTCCTGTCATGTGCAAGTGTGAGCTCTGTCCTTGTGTTTTCACTCCTTAAATTGGAGGACAAATAAAACATATGTCAAAGCATTATTACAGGATGAGGTGGGCTTGCAATATATAAAAAGTAATATATAATAACAAGGGTATTATTCATTAGGATCCATATGAGATCAAAGGAGCAACTCAAGGGGCTACCAAGAATACCACAGTGGTGCAAAGTCATTGAAACCCCGGCTGACATTACAGAGAAGTCACGACCCTGAAAACCAGCCAGGTATGCCACATGGATTATTGCAGACCATTCTCATTGTAACCTCGGGAGGGAATTTCTATTGTCATCCCAATCTATCATGTAACAAGATCAAGGTCAAAAAGTATGACTCCTATTTCCTGTTCTGATCGGAATCTTGGGTATAAATGCCCCTTGCTTTAAAGGCTTGTCTCACTTAAAGGTGGTCATTAGCAGAGTGCTTTCCAAGGGCTCAGGCTCTGCCAATCTAGGCTAAGGGCTAGCGATTTTAAAATGAATGCACCCTGAGCTTTATCCTCAGTGAGCTCCTAGGGTGAGGGCTCTTGCAGCCTCTTCCTCCACTGTGCTTTGTCTAATACAGCACAACCTCTGAAGGTCTTTCCAAGGTCCAGGTTCCTCTCTAGCTTAAACACTTTCTGTGGTTAGGGGTGGCCTCCAGCCCAGTTATGAATCAGCTCCACCTGGATCAAAGTTCTCTGCCTGATTTCGGGGCCTTGTGTGTGCTCAGACCCATCATCCGTCCCAGCTTTATCCCCACTGGTACCCAACCCTTATGGGGTGACTTGGTCAGGCAGATCCCTTTCCTGCTCCATGAATGCCCTTCATTCATCTTGGTTTTTTGGCCCAAAATGTGACCCCTCCGTCACCTCCCTCTAACCCACCCTCTTCCTACACTAGCCCCACCCACAGGAAGTCTTTCTGGCCTATGTATCCACACTAATCCTCTTCTTCCTCCTGTCTCTCTTTTGTAAGATTTAGATGAGATCCTAAATCTTGGGTCCAGGTGAGAAGCTGTGCTAGCTGGCGCCAAGTGGACCTGTCCTACGTTATTTATTCACGGACACAGAAGCTCCTCGAGCCAGGCACAATAGCTCCCCTATCCCTGGGAAGTCCCAAGAGCTTGCTAAATTCCTGCCAGCATCCTGTGCCCCGGCTCAGCTCTTGAGTTGGAAGAGCAGTGAGCTGCAGGGAAAGCGCACTGGAGTCGGGGTCTCGAGGTCTGTGCTGTCCCTCCGATCTACATGGGCGATGACTTTGAGCAAATGGATTCTTCCCTTTAGGCCTCTGTGTTGTCTATAAACTGTAGAAATGGCATTAGGCCAGACTTTCCCAAGTGCCTTTTTGGTAACCAGGACCAAAAGATGTTCAGACTTTAATGTGCACGTGGATTCCCTGGAGAATCTGGTAAATGCGGGTTCTGATTTAGTGGCTTTGGGGGTGCTGCTTCTGAGAGCTCCCAACTGATCTTCACACTGGTGTCCCTGAACCTAGGTGTGGCATTACACAGGATCTGTTCAGCCCGCGCTGAACACTAGAAAGGTCCAAGAAGTGCTTCCCTCCTCCAAGTCTCTATTTTAGATTTTTTATTTTTTTAATTTTTTGGTACCAGGAATAGAATTTAGGGCCTCAAGCTTGTTTGTGGGGGCGCTGCACCGCTGAGCTACATCCCTGGCTCTCTTTATTTTAAAATTAAAGTACTCTAGGGAAGACTCTAAAAAGCCTGCTGTTAGAAGTGCAGCTCAGGCTCCTTAAATGAGATCTTGTGTGCTGATAATTTAAGACAAATTAGTGGTTTCATGTGAGGTGGTTGTCTCTACTGCCCCCGTGTGGTCATCTTGTGCACTCACCGTGGGATTTCAAACAAATTTCCCGCTAGAGACCAGACTATTAGAACAATAAAGGAAATAATGTTGCTGCCTGTAGTGAACAGGGCTTCTCAGTGACCCCAGGACCCACCCTTCCATGAGATAGCTCCCCTGTCTAGTGCTGGATACATTCCTTTAAACAAAGGTCTCAGTTCCAGTGTCCTAGGGGTAGACCAAATGAATGGAAAAGCTTTAGGTCTGCCCAGTACAGGGGCAGTCCAGGAAGAGGGACCCGAAGGAGCACCTGAGACTGCCAAGCCAACCCCTTGGCCAGAGCTGGACAGGTGCTCAGAGGGGCCATATATAGGGCCGGAGGTATCTGTGTTTGGATTTTGAATGACCCCTCGTGCCAATGCCATAGGAAAGCAGGTGGGTTTCTCCTAACTGTCTGAGCTGGGGTGGCTGTCAGAAGCCGTGGACACTAAGGGCTTTTTCAGAGGCCTCTTTGCAGGTGAGTAGCAGATTCGGGGTGGTAACTCAGCCCCCGGGACCCACCTCATTCTCCATTTCGGATCCTTTTCCCCTGAAGCTGAGAGTGAGTGCATCCTTAGTACCCAGGGGCCTGGTGTTATCTGGGCACTGCTCCCCACTCACTGCGGAGGAGGACATCTGCTCAGAAGAGGTGGGGGACAGACCTGAGGGCTGGGGAGGCAGCCTGGAGAGGAGGGGTCCTCAGCTCCCAGCAGCCATGGTGCAACCGGATGATCGCAGACACTGCAGTGGGACGGGGATGACTTTTGCCCTGGGAGTCTATAAACACACTTTCAATTGTGTCCCCATCCTGCTCCTAGCCTTGACCTCACCATGGTCAGAACATCCAGGCTCCCCATCCTGAGCATCCCTGCCAGGCACACTTCCAAGTACAGTCCCGAGACACCTGCTCCAAGTGTGTATTCTTTTTTTGTTTTGGGTACCGGGGATCGAACTTGGGACCTTGCACTCACGAGGCAGGCAGCAGCACCACTGAGCGACATCCCCGGCCCCCAAGCATGTGTTGTTTAGTCCTCTTCCCCAGCCCACTCGGGCAAATCCAATACCATTGCCTGGGGGCTCCTCCCCCCACCTCGTCTTGCCAAAATGGCACAGGGTGACTTGTTCCTGTCCCTGCACCCACTGGGAATCTTCCCCAGGCACAGTCCCTTTGCACTTTTTCTTTTCCCCTGGGATAATGGCTCTGTCCTAGAGGTGCAGGGTGGTTTGGACTTTGTTGAGTCTCCCACAACTGGTTTGTAAGAGGCATTTTTTTCATGTGTTCTCAAGTGTCCCATTGTGGGCAGGTTCGAACACAGAAATCAAATGTTCACTGGTAGGATCAAGGTGTGAGTACTGGGGGCATCCTAGGAATCCCACCCACCAGATGAGGACATGGCCAGAGAGGGTGGTGTGGTGGGGGGAGATGGGCAAATTCCTGAGGTGGAGAGGCTCTCTGAAGAGGAAGGGAGGAAGGGGAAACAGCTGGAACAAGGGGAAAAATAAGGAGATGCCTTGGCTGCCTTTCTTGCCCTCAGAAATGCCTTTCCCACCTGTACCACATCTGCCTGTTTTCCCTTCACAGTTGGGCCCCAGTCTCTTCTCCACTATTGGAGCCCCTCTGATAGATGTCCTTGGTCTTTGGTCCTCTGCCTTCCTCAAGGAAGCCCACGGGGACCAGCAGAGTGTCTGGTTATTTTCGATTCCCAAAGTGTAGGTCTCAGCGGCCAGCACCGCAGAAAGCCTCGGAGAGGTGAGGCCGAGTACTGTATGTTCTTCCAGGCTGCAGTAAGAAGGGAAAGTGATTTGTAGATGGCAGGCATGGTTTCTTCATCAGTAGGGATCCTGGGGATTCCCAAGGGGTGGTGGAGAGTGAAGGAGAAATTGCCAAGGAGGGAACCCCAAGCCCAAGCAAACCTCTTTAGAAGGCAAGTGCAGTTTGTGCTACTCAGGAATTAGCCAGCAGGAGGCACTCTGGCCCCACCTGCCATTCTTGTGTTGGTTTCCGGGTCTCCATCTTGCCCAGAGCTGTGGGCCTTGGGGGTAGACACCATCCCCCACCCCGAATTACTGGGTGTGGAGACCCCCCCCTACCTTCACAACCCACTGTCTGTAGGGGGAGTAGGAAGTTTCTAAAGATTCAAAGTGGCCTGGGCCATGGGCACGGGTCTAGTTCCCGTCTTGCTCCCAACCAGCTGAGCTGAACGATCTTTTTTTTTTTTTTTTTTTTTTTTT